AACAACACGGCGGGATCGTGTGTGAGCCCGATGTCGTCCTGCGGCGTGGAGATAGTGTTGCACGGTGCAGATGCGGGATCGGCGAAGTGATCGTGGCTGATGGCGGCTTCGTCGGGTCAGAGGCTCGTGATGGAGTGCCTTTGCTGCAGCTCCGTCGTCACTTCGCTTGAAAGTTCCAAGGTTTGATGATGGTGCACGTGACGGCCAGCATGGCAATCCACCTGGCAGCCACCCCACATTCAACATTCACATGTCTCCTTAATCTTAGGTCATATTGTTCATTCCTTTCGCATAAAGGAGGCAACACCCTCAGCCATGTGGCCACGCGCACCCGTGGTGTTAAAGCAAGCACACGGCTGCTGAAACCTCCTCTTTTGCTGGTCGCGAGCCCTGCGAACGCCACCACACGCGAGGCAGCATGCGGCTCGGCTCCAAGGCCGGACATGGTGTACAGGCTGCAGCAAACCGTATGTAGAGTGTGCACACGAGCAAATGGGTAACAGGACAAGACTTTTCTACCACATGAGCAGCATCAGCAGTGCCTGTGATGCACGACCCGTGGTCAGCATTGGATATGGACAACATAAGACTGGCTGGCTTCGCAACACAGCTGGCGCACGAGTCGCCTAGGATTTCTCGAGGATATGTGGATTACACTCCCCTAGTCCGGCCACGTAGTATCGCATTACCTCTCTGGTCGCTGAGAAAGTACCATGGACACGCTGGCGTACGCTGGCTCGCGCTCGGGTATTGTCGGACCCCGGGATTTCCCTTGTACTAGGCGACGGCTATCTATCAAGCCCTCCAGCCTTATCTCGCTGCGAGACGCGGCCAGACGCGACAACACCAAATTATCAAAGAAGATCTCCAGCTCCTATCTCCGCATCTTGGGGTATGCACTGTGATCGTCAGGTCGCTTCGACGTACTCTACTGCTAATTGGGAAAGGCTCACGTAGCCTCCAAGTCCCTGCGGAAGTCCGTCTCCGCATAAGCTGATAGGGTCTACACTGCTATGACTGATTCATTGTCTTACGACCAAGCTTCCTCCCGAGGGAAGCCTATCATTGTGATAAGCACTGTTATCATATTCACCGCAAACAAACCTTGGAACGCAGCAGGAGCGTTCGCACACCGACTACAAAGGTAGCGTGCCTTCTTCTCGTTTGTTCTCCCCCTTCCTAATCATCCTCACACCTCCACACCAACTTTCAGCCCTAAATCAATCCTGGGTTTCTGCCGCTTTCAGCTTTCGCCTACCTCGCTCGCATCATCTCCGACGCCTCCATGGCCCCGGAGTCTCTCACTCTTACTACCACCGAAGAACAGCAGAACGACGTTACAGTGGGGACTATCACTTGCACTGCACCTATCCCGTTTGGAGGGGATGAACAATGGCTTTACCTACCCGCAACCAAGAAGTTCGATCTGTCTCGCGGTTCACAGCAGAAGATGGTCTTCGAGTGCGATGAGGAAGATCGCAACCACACCGGCTTCATGATCGACCCTGGCAACTCGGTTTTGATTGTTGTCGACATGCAAAACTACTTTGTTCACCCACTCTATCGGGATCACGCCGCAGGCATCGCCGCTATCGAGCCGACTCTGAAAGTCATCGAGAGATGCCGTAAAGAGGGGATCCAGATTGCCTGGCTGAACTGGGGAATCAGCGACCATGACTTGAAAAAGATGGCACCTGCTATCCAGCGAGGCTTCAGCAAGACTTTGGGATGGCACGTCGGACTTGGCGCACAGCTGCCCGATGGTCAGGGAAGGTGCCTGTTCAAGCGGACCTGGAACGCCGAACTTTACGATCCATTCAAGGCAGTCGCTCAGCCTGGCGATTTATTCTTCGACAAGACGCGCATGTCGGGACTTTGGTCTGAGAAGGAGCCTCTTCACGAGTATCTCCGCGCATCTGGCAAGCAAACACTACTTTTCGCTGGTGTCAACACAGACCAATGTGTTTTTGGCACCGTGTCAGATGCCTACTCTTACGGATGGGACTGTGTTCTGCTTCGCGACTGCACAGGCACCATGACAGGCCGAGGAGCCCAGGAGCTTGCCGAGTATCAAGTCTCGCAGAACATGGGTTTTGTGATGGACAGCAGTGCATTCTGCGAGGCACAGATTTGTGAACATTTTGAGGGTTGCTGATTCAGCGACACATGTCTTCTACGTTGGCGGTTTCTTGTCTTTTTTCTGTTCTTGAGCGTGCTATCCGAATACCCGTAGAGCTACACCAGCCTAGCAGAAATACAATCAAAATATGACATCTGTATGACTCGCGCTATCCAAGGGTTGCAAGATCGACGTTGCCCAATCATGTTGTAGCTTCCCCAAACGTTTGTGGATCTGCATAAGTTGAGGTACGAATGACGCACGACGAGGTTGGGTGGAGACTCCTCCCCATAAGGGCCTACCTCACGCGATAACGTTCCTGAGGTCATCTCAACGCTCTGGTGCACGCATCCCGGACAACGACGAGGCTTGAAGCTATTTTGACACTGAAAGACCATCCCCAAATCGACAAGCCGCTATTTCGCCAGCACGATGTTTTCCCAACTCTCGATTGGGCTGACGTGCCTGCTGCCGCTTTGCGCCGTTGCGCTACCAACTGAGCAAAGACCATTGATACTCAACGGCCCTAAGAACGTCCAGGCTGTTCGAACAAAGTAAGGAATTTCATCAAAACTACAAGCATCGTACTAAAATTTCACAGACTTCAGCACGCTGAGATAATTCCCACCGTCATTCATGACTTCCTGCCTAGTCTCACAGTGTCCGTTCTTTGGTCAGATGCCAAAGCCAAACTCGGCAACACCATCGAGCCAGACTATCTTGGAGAACAGCCCACCATTGTTCTGCACGATGACACAAGTCCGGACGGAATGCACAGCACCTCCGACATGAGCTACGTCGTCACACTCACCGACCCCGACGCGCCATCTCGCGAAAATCCAGCATGGAGTGAGATGTGTCATTGGATAGCTTCAAACGTCACCACCGCGCCGAACACGTTCTCGATCCTACCCCTACCAGAGTTTGGTCTTACAGAAGAGACCGAGTCGACAGACGGTGGTCCGGAAGACGTGATGGAATACAAGCCTCCTGGCCCACCACCAAAGACAGGCAAGCATCGCTATGTATTCCTCGTCTTTGCGCCAAAGAACGGAACAACCGAGCCGCTTCATGTGAGTAAGCCAGAGGATCGCCAGCATTGGGGTACTGGAAAGGAGGGTGGTGGTGTGCGAGAGTGGGCTGAGCACAATGGCCTCGTGCCTGTTGCTGCCAACTTCATCTACTCGCAAAATGATAAGCAGTAGACACGCATCGATGCGCTTACTGTATGCATGGAATGCCGAGGGCACATGCATATTCGATGGCTGTTTTTTCTTTTCAAAATCTCGCTGCAAACGGCGGAGGCGTACTGTCAGTAGCGTACACATAGCATTGATACCAACAATCTCGTAACGAATGCACGTAATCTGGTTTCTCCAGAGCGAGCGCTCTCATCGTATCATCCCATCGTTCCTCGTGCCGTGCGTCGAACGAGTAGCCCTACGGCGCCCCGATCGCGAAATTTGTGGGGCGACAGCTCCCGGGCCGAGCTGGTTGCACGCACCCCGCGCGCGTCTTCAGCTACCACCAACAACCCGCAACCACAGTTTCCGGCAACTCGTCTCTGTGCCGTCCATGCATTGCAGTATCGCGCCACTTAGGTTTCCGGTCAAGGCTCAGCACCCGTCGACTGCATCTCTGATTATCCGGACGAGGGTGTGATGACTGAAACCGCCTGTATCAACCGGCTGCGCAACCAATACCAGTACTGCGAACAGAGGCCTGCGCGTCCGAGGCGGATCAATACGGAGATAATCTGATCCCGACTATGTATTCACTCTGCTTGTTCAAATCTGCGTATCGACAAGCCCGGCCGGTCGACGACAATGAAGTCTATACCACGGGGAAAACATGCGATGCGACCTCGTCTTCGCACGTTCACCGCAACAACTATACCTCCGCCAGGTCCTTCCGTTCACGTATTACAACAAAATACAGAGCCTCATGCCCTGATGAGCGACATCCCATAAGCGGTCGAGATTGCGACGATGACGGTCGGGCTCTGATCAAGCTGAATTGAGGCTCAACACCGACAAATCACGACCGAACTACCGAGCTTGTCTTTTCTCGCACCGTGACGGCAAGGATGCATTGCATTGCCCTATGACATGTTCCTACCGTGCGAACAGGATGCACGTCCTACTGGACGCCGGCATTGACGATCGTTGGCCAGCTGCATACGGCAATCACGAGCGTCAGACCAAACGCCCTCTGGCTCCTATCAGCGACACAAAGCCCTCTCCAATGGTCGGAAAGCAGGGGTGACTGAACGACACAGGGTGCTGCAAGACGTCTGCCACCCCTGTACCGGTCAGCTCTCGAAAACCAAGGAGGCTTTGCATGCGCTCGCGTCAGATAATCTGGGCGCATCGGTTTGAAGGTCACAAGTCCATCGTGATACAAGCCAGGGATTATATGCCGTCTGGATACCACAATCTTGCTTACATACAGGGCTGAGTGTCCCGAACAAGTGGAGCCAGCCAGTACGCTTCCAACCGGTGAATGCCATTGCAAAGCCGCCATAGCTATGCTCTGCAAGCCACCAGTAGGTGATATAGACGTCAACATACTTGGCGAAGGCTGAAAGCATGATCGCACCACCGTTAGAGTCTATGCCCAGTTGACATTGGTTCCGACTTTCTGCTGTCCGACTTTGAGGCTGCATAGTGCTACCTATTTAAATGTCGTTGATGGCCCTGTGTCATGAAAGCAAGCCAGTCATTCACTCCAACGACTGACCGGTGCTACAACTTTTGGGCCTTTCTGCATCACTTCGTCGTACACCTCTGCACTGCCTTCCGCATTGCCCTAGGGCTGTGTAACACTACGTCACTTGACTCCAACGCAACCACCGACCAATGATAAGGTGCCAAGGTCAGCTATGCCTGAAAAACAGCAATCTTTGCCTCTGCGACAACAGCCGGATCCCTACGATAACGAACCACCATCCCCTCCCTCGGAAGATGATATGGCTCCAAATCAGCAGCGAGGGCTCTACGATGCCATTTTCATTAAGCTAGTACGCAGCGAATTCTCGAAACAAGACTTCCTGCCCGAGGATGACTTCGAAACGCTTATCACCGAAGATACCGTCAAAGAAGAATTGGACAACACTCTCGAAGCTTTCGACCCATCGCTTGTCAAGTACATCGCAAAGCACGCGCGGAAGACATTCGCCACATTGGTTATTCAGGGCAAAGTTCACAAGGCTGTCAATCTTGAGAAATCGAAATTCAACGACGATTACCTTCCTATCGCTAACGAGGAATCGGGGCTTACTTCTCTAAACGGGTTGTCCAGGGATCGACACGCCTGGAGGTGGTTCAAGAGCTGGTGGACGCAAGAAAGAAACGAATTCTGTGAGAAGCAATGGACATTCTTGTCACCGATCTTCGAGAGTAATAGCATGATGGAAGTCTTACATCGAGACTGTCGTTTACCCTTTATCACTTGTGATTCGAAAATTGATGAGGGCAGTTTCAGCTTCGTACACAAGGGTACTATACATCATGCGCACCACAAGATTAGCTCAGTCAGTATATCGTCTTCGATCTGTGGAAGCTTGCTAACTGTTATAGGGAAATCTCGTCATTGCAATCAAGGAACTCCGCGATACAGCAGTAGGAGCCGATCAGCGAGAACTTGCTGCCCTGGACCTTGCGCGGAAGTTGCAACATCCACATATCGTACCATTTGTCGGCGGTTTCAGACAAGGCACCACAAGTCACTTGCTCTTTCAGTGGGCAGACGGAGGTAATCTACGATCGTACTGGAACAACAAGGAGAATTGGTCTCGGGACGCAGATCTCATAAGCTGGACAATCGAGCAGATCAAAGGCCTCTTCTCGGCACTTAGAAAATGGCACGACCTGGATGAGCTATACAGCACCCCATTGAACGGTCGACACGGAGATCTGAAACCAGAGAACCTTCTGAGGTCTCTGGGAGCACCAGGCAGTCGGCGATCCATTTTCCAGATTGCGGACCTAGGATTAGCCAAGATACATTCGAATCCAACACACGCCCGTAACAAACCTTCGTCAACTCTGGGTGGGACCCCCAGATACAAGCCACCTGAAGACAAGCCCAAAATCTCGAGGTCTTACGACATGTGGAGCATGGGTTGCATTACCTTGGAGTGGATAATATGGTTGGTCTACGGTATCGATGAGCTCGGAGCCTTTTACGAGCAAGCGTGTCCCGAGGATTGTGACTCGTTCTGGTCGCGTGAAAGCGACGATCATCCCACTCATCCAGGAGTGATTTCCTGGATGAAACACATGACCGACACATGTCTGGCAGACGAAGAGCATTGCTACAGCATTGCTCTGCGTAAACTTCTCATTTTCGTGAGGAACAGACTGCTAGTACCAGATCCGGTAGATTATGACACAACCGACACAACTCAACAGTCAAAGGAGAACAGCGACTTATCCATATTGATTACACCTGCTCCGGATGCCGGGTCGATAAAGTCCTTATCAGGGCGGGCGAAATGCAAAGATGCTTGCACGGAGCTTGAAAACATCAGCTCGATTCCGAATGGCGTCCGAAACTACATGTATAACCCAGGAGTCAATATGAACGGCCCAAATGGTCGGGGTCCATCAAAGCGGATATCGAGCAAACTTCAGGTGCCTTCGACCTCCAGCTCTCATCAAGAGGTGAATGGCCCCCTCGACAATCGATGAGCAAATTTCTGATGTCAACTCGTCAGCAGAAATCGCGTGATCTAATGCGTTTATATCACCATCGACAGAAGAATGGTGGGGTAGCCGACACCAAGAATCCCTATGCGGTACCTATTGCATTGGATGCGTGGATAACACATTTTGACAACCTTTTTGCAAGGACCATGTTTGGCATCCTGGATGACGATGAGATCTCCATGCTTGCTCCAGTGTATGAAGTCGTGACTTCTTTATGTCATGCATGCTCTAGCACGGAAGTGGGAGTCTTCTCGAGAGCTTATTTCTCAGTATCTTATGAACAAGCGCACGCGTTCAGAACAAATTGTACCCTCTGTGCTATCGCGTACGACAGGATGAGCAGTTCGGTCGGAGACAATACAAGCAAGATAATGTTGCAAGAAGGGTCTTGCTTGACTACTTCGAGAGGAGAACCCCCGATGCTTTCCTGGGTTGTAGGGCCGAGTCTTGGTAAGTAGTACATCCCTTCTCGGGGCAGGATGCTTACTGCGCACATAGGTCTTAATCATTTCTCGGACACGTACCAGCGAGGCTTCCCAATCCTACCAAGTCCCGGGGGTTCTACTCAGACCAAGCTGTTGAGAAGATGGTTGAAGTGGTGTGATATGTATCACGACTGCGGACCCACCAAGGTAGTCATGCCTCGAAGACTCGTCAATGTATCTCCAGGAGAAGCTTATGACTGTCGCGGTCGCGGAGATTCCGTCACACTTCGTTTGGACTGCGATGAGAAAAGGAAAGATACCAAATATGTGGCTCTAACCCATCGGTGGGGTGATCCATCATTGCATGGAGGCTTCCATTCCTTGAGTCATGAAAAGCTGGAACAATGGAAAACTCACCTTGATCTACGGATGCTACCACGGACTTTTCAGGATGCAGTCAAAATTACAAGGGGCCTTGGGATCCGATATCTATGGGTAGATGCACTTTGCATAGTCCAAGATGATCCGGAGGACTTGCAGGCTCAGATTGGGAAGATGGAGGATGTCTTTAGGTGTGCGTATGTCACACTTTCGGCAACGTGTGCGACTGGAAGCGATGACGGGTTCCTGAAAACGGATCGCAAAATGAGACGCTACTATCCGATTTCGTATGCCAATCAGTTGGGTAGCCTTGACATGATCTATTTATGCGATCCTATCGATGATTTTGAGCGCCATGTGGAGCAGTCAGCATTGAGTCAAAGAGGCTGGGTTTTTCAAGAAAGAGCGCTGTCTCGACGCATCATCCATTTCACGGAAGTTCAAGTCTACTGGGAATGTGGAAAGGGAGTCCGATGCGAGACCTTATCGACGCAGTATAAGTAAGTATCACCATGCGTTCTCGTTGCTACGACATTAAGCTCATTGTTCTATCAGCCACAAAACATCCTTTCTCTCCGACCCCCAGTTCCCTGATGCTATGCTGAAGCTATATAAGGGGATGCGCATCGCCTTCTTCGAAGAGATATACCAAAAGTATTCAGAGCTCGACTTCACACACCATACGGATAGGTCGTTGGGTATGGCTGGCATTGAATCACGGTTCGCGGAATTATTCGGTAGAGCACGGCATGGAATACTGGATGATCCTCGCGAGCGCAGCTATCTACGCCGTAGTCTGCTTTGGCGACGTGCAGATCTCACCAAAGAGATGACGAAGATTGATTATCCACCAAACAGTCGTGTGCTCTCATGGTCCTGGATGGCAGTAACAGGCTCTATATGCTTCATGAATATTCCATTCGGTGCAGTTGACTGGCAGCCAGACCTTGGTTCGCCCTTCGACGATTATGGCACTCCTGGGGCTCTTCGTGGCGACGCTAGAGACTTTGACAAACAGGAAAATGATCGAGTATTCTTCGATCGTAATCCAGACGCTGATTGGTTCTCGTACAACCTCCTTAAATGTGTGGTCCTTGGTATGCAGGTTATATCAAACGGCAGTCTGTTAACTCATTATGGCCTACTCGTTGCTGCCGCAGAAACTGGTAGTGACGTCTACGAGCGAGTAGGAGTCGCTGCTTTTGAGCGGGACCAGACATGGATGGACCAGGAACCCATCCAGCGAATACGTGTTATATAAATCTGCTCTCGCTCAGCGTGGTTCTCTTTCGTCGATCTTTAATGTCACTTTTTGGTTACAGAGAAAATTTCCTTTCCTTTTTTGGTTGCGATGGAATTGCGAAGCCGGAAGGATGAACGATGAAATTATCTGCCTGCGGATGTGCGATCATGTTACTTACTCAGCATTGAGTATGATAACATACTGCCTTGATACACGCATGCCTCTTCCACTTAAAATCTCATCAGTTCTAACATGTATACTAACTTAGATACCAGGGCGTTTGGTGAGCATTTGTCTTTGCGTGGGTAGCACTTACTACCGCACACCTATCTCATCTGCATCAAAGACATGTCTCAGATCTGTCAGTCTCTCGATGAGCCATGTGTTTCAGTATGACCGGCATGTTCTTTGTAAGATATTTACGAAGACAACCGATCGGCATAGATTCGAAATCTGACCCTTTGTTCCTTCTTTGGCTTTCCTTCACATAAGTACGGTCACTCCTCGCATCATACCACTCCTTCCCGTTTGTCGTCAAGCAGTAACAGTCAGCTATGCCGCCCCAGAGGACAGTAAAGACAACTTACAGGCAGCCAGGGCAGTCTACCCGCTATTCAGCGACGTACGACCCATCACAGGAATACATCGATGATGAAGACTCCGAGATAGGCCAGTTGATCAAAGCCGATCCTTATTGGCGCTACGTATTGAAAACTGGGAGGTACGCCGGACGCACTTTACAGCAGCTAGATAACGATAAAAGCGACGACAATTGCGTCAGTTACTTAAGATGGATGCTGACCGCCGAGAAAGCCTGTAAGGGCGTTGATGACGACCACATTGTGCGAAGGGGTTTACTTCAATGGAACAATCAAGCTGGGTATCGCGCCACTATTCCTCCATCGGACGAAGTTCCTCCCTACGCCACGGGAAAGAATGCGCCTTCGTTGTTAAAGAAGCTGGTCGTCTCAGTTCCTTCACCCGAGCGCTTCAAAACTGCTGGAGGAAAACCTATCTGGATTTCTGGATCCGATATCATCGGTCTCTTCCATATGCAGCGACACCAGTTGAGCCGCTTCGGTGTGAAAGACCTTGAAGAGTACCGCAATTCTCAACGGTTCCGTAAAAGAAAGTACTCGCTCGAACAAGTATGGGAGGTCGCGAAGCGTACGCCTAATTGCCCGCTCGATCAGACGCCTGATGAGGCTGTCGATCGGTACCTCCTTAAGGTCCAGAAATGCGGAAATGGTGGAATTGGATCTCTTCGTATCATCTGCGGGCACAAAGACTGTGAACAGATGCGAACTGGTGGGCCCAGCGAGGCGGGGCAGAGGTTTTGGGTGGATATGTACAAGGAGATGCTGTAGGGTTATGACCTATAATAGGATGGAACTAACCAAATTTAGGGTATTCAGTGCGATAGTTTCTGAGATTGCGAGCTGTAATACCTGAGGTCTGAAAGCTAGAGGCCACCTTCGAATCCCGGCATTCCGTCCTTCACATACATGCATGAAGGCCTCAGTTTTGATTTGCACTCTCCATTCCTTCTCCTCTGACATGATGCTTGAAATTTCTCTGGTTCTCATGCTTCAGTTGAGCTGAACCTGAGACATCAGCACCGGATCTCTTGACTAGTTGGACTAGCCCTGCGTCACTTTCTTTCACAACCCTCCCGCTCTTTGTCGTCCACGTGATCGTGATAATCGCAGCGCTCCAATTCCTCGTTCCACCATCCGCATTCCAGGTTTATGGCCATTGAAGAATAGCGCGCAACTATGCGGATCAGCATAACAGGCGATAGGTTTTGTTTGAGCAAATCAGCAATCCCAGACTTCTCATCCACTCTGCCATAGTCGCTCACATCCCAGTGACGGCAGTGAACATTGATGAACAGATCCAGTATGCTATGATTCGATGGCAAGTTGTCCATAGCGTACTGCGTAGCCGTGAAGAAAGGAGGTGGGCGAGAAGCTGGCGGATCTTCTACATTAATTAAAGTGTCGACGATGCAATCGTGGGCGGCTTGTCTGAAGATAGGGGCCAGAAACCTATCGCCAAAGACGAGTGCCTTGGTAAATCCGGTGATGAGAGTGTCGTCATCGACGTATTCGTCTGACGTCATGTTTTGTTCATGTAGAGAATCGCACTGGTGTTCGTTGGGCATTTGTTGGTTATATAACCAGTGAACGAAGATGTCTACAGCCACAGTATCGACATCGCTCAAGGTCACCAGCTTGTCGTCTGACTCTTTCCATGAGCCGTTGAAGGCGTTGCGGAAGTACTCCGAGTGGTGTGTGAGCAAAGCTTTGTGCACGTGATAGTGTTGTTTCTGTGGGCCGATTTCGAGAACGACGAATCCTTCTTTTGCAGCTATACTGCGTACTGTCAGTTCAAGTTTCTCCCACGGATCAGGGCTGTAAAGAAGCATACCTGACAAGTGGCGCCTTCCTGGGTTTCTCTGGTTTTGTCTGCGTCGCAAGGTTCGAGTCGATGGAAGCCATACTTGCTTCGTGCCGCGGAGGAGCGACGCGATGAGTATGGCGCTGCTTGTTCAGAAAGTAAAGAGGGAGGAGATTAGAACTGCGCAGGCCTGATCTCGGTGATTGATAGAAAAGTTCGCTAGCGCACTTGCGTGAAGGTGAAGGTGAGACCGCTTAAACGAGCAAACGCACGCTTGCCCCACTAGCAATTGCAATAATACTCATTGAGTGAGATATGATGATTATTGATTACTTTAGTTCTCAAAACCCGACGAAGTCACCGCTCCTTCACTAGCTCGCTACTTGAACTCAGAGCTTACAGATCATATACAGCACCTTCCCCGTCATACCCTTCTGGATGTCGTCTACTACAACGCTTCCGCCCGGAACACTACCGCCCGCCACTTCCCTCGCAACGGATAATGCAGGATCCTCCAGAAACTTATACGTAGTGCACTGCGACATTCTGAGCCTATCAATATATGTCTTGTCTACTAGGCAAACGAAACTTACATGGTAAAGAGGCATACTGCTGGCCACTGAACAGTCACCTTACGTACGGTTGCACCACTGTATATATTAGGAGTTTCCTAAAGCAGCTGGGAGTCGCTGTCCGCGGGTAGTTGTGACTTACAGAGTTGTGGTGAGTAGCCGGCATTCATGGGGAAGTAATGCGACGTCTTCGCACTTATCGTCCGTTGAGCAGATCTGAGCGTGGAGCATTGAAGGCGAAGGGTTTGCTGGGGAGGCGGGGGATGAGGAAGGCGTGGGGACAACAGATACGACTGAGCTGGAAGGTGTAGCCGGGACAGTATGCGTGGTCGCCACTGGGACTCCCGGTGTCGCAATGTTACTTGATGGTGTGAATGTGGAGGCAAGCACAAATGAAGGTAAGGTTGGAGATATATGGCTTGTTGGCGCAGGAGGAGGGAGCGGCTGACCCACCGGTTTCGAGGAAGGAGCAGCCGGCGGTACGACTGGTGTAGTCGCGCTGGGAGGCAGCAATATGGTCATCCATGCAGATTCCGGAGGTAGGCTCCTGGCCGTGATAAAAGGGTGTGCGCTTGTGCTGAGCGCCAGTGATACTGTAAAGAGAGTGTACATGAAGTGCATACTTGCGAATTGCTGTGGTGATATCACGTAGTGGTGGTAGCTAGGTTATATAGACCATGTTTGCACGAGCACTGGAATGATGGCGACGTGTACACAAGCTGTTCTCACCAAAACAAGATTAGGGGCAGACAGTTATATTTGAGAGTAGCGACTGAACAGGGCCGATGCCAGCGTTTAATACCAAACCTCATTCCAGCCGCGTCGTACCCGCGTTGTAGAACCAGCACATTCAACAAACAATGCCCAACCCCACTTTATGAATGCTGAAAGCAGACTCCTAACTGGAGGTTTCAGAAACCACATATGGTTTGCCGCATGAAGAGCTCGGGGACCATCACCACTCACAATCCACCGTACTGGGCTCGCAATCCCATGTGTGCACAATACCCCAATCCTCATCTTCTTCATCCAGAGTATCCTTCATATACGAGTTCCATGGGGTGTTATTCTTGATAGCACTCCCACTCCAGTCTTCGTCATCCGCGTCCCATGGGTCCAGACTCTCATCGTCGCTCTGAGATAGAGTGTCGTCATCCGTGTGCTGTTCTTCCAAGCCCTCTAGGTACTCGGGGACATCGTTCTTCTCCTGACCGTTGGCCACAGCCCTGCTGTCCTCATCCCACTCTTTGAGTCCCTCGGTCTCAACGTTGGTCATCTCCCACATCTGCTTGTAAGGCATGCCGCTAGGGTCCGTGGGCGCGTGGATGAACCACTCTGGCATTTCTTCCTCGCTATCTTCGTCGAGTTCGTATACTGTGGCGTCGTCTTCGCTGTCTCCGTCGAGAGTCCACAGGCGGTATCCTTCTGGTTCATACCCCTCGTAGTCCTCCTCCTCTTCGTCTGTGATGCTCTCACTCGTTTCACTAGCCGCCTCAATCATCTCGCCCGGGATGAAGTTCCATTCCCGCTCTTCAGCCTCTCGGTCTAAGGTCTCGATCTCCTCCATGTAGTGTGCGACGCGCTCAACCATAATCTCGAGATCTACGGCAAGGCACCCATTTTCCGCCCTGCATTCTGCAAGCTCGCCCTCTAATTCGTCGACGCGAGATTGCATGGCACGAATAGTGCCGGCGTTGTTCTTGGCCCAAGATTCGTTCGCGATGCGTAACTGTCTGTTCTCTTCTTCGAAAGCTTTCTTCACGCGCCAGGATTCGTCACACCTCGATATACATCCTAGATGCAAGCTTCGAATTTGGGATTTCAAGGCATTGCAGTCCCTGGTCAGCTTCTCGATCTGTGTAGATACAAGTTTGGCGCTTTCTTCGTTTGACATGATCGTTGCGTGTTGTTCGTCAATCTTATCTTGCGCCTCCTGGCTAAACTTGTTTGCACGCTCCCACTCCTTCTTGGTGTTGCGCAGAGAATGTGTCATGGCCTGGAGATGTGTAGATACACGTTTGGCGCTTTCTTCATTGAACATGATCGTCGCGTGTTGTTCGTCAATCTTATCTTGCGCCTCCTGGCTGAACTTGTTTGCACGCTCCAACTCCTTCATGGTGTTTTGCAGAGAAAGTGTCATGGACTGGAGCTCTTTGGCTTTGAACTGAATCTGGCTCTGTAGTTCATAGCACTCATCTTCCTTGGAGGCATTCTTGCATTTAGACTCCTCGAGCGCGTGGGTGAGGTACACCATTACGCCTTCTGCACGGTCGCGTTCGCGGCGCGCTTGGGACAGCTCCCTACCGAGTCCATCGCGGAATTCGAGGTGGGCGACGACTTCCTTTTCGCTCTGTTTGAGCGCAATTTTGGTGTTGGCGAGAATGGATTTGGTATCGACGAGGCAGAGGTCAGTACTAGTAGGCTTGGTTTGGGAGGCGTGGAGCTCGTCTTTGACTTCAGACAGCTCGGCTTGAGTGGCCTTGAGTACTTCCTCTTGAATTTTTGCTCGACAGATCGCTTCGTTGAGTTTCTCGTCGTAGTGGACCAGGCCGATAAGAGCAGCGAGGAGAACTATTCCGGCTGCCATGGACCAGGCCAAAGAGACCATTGTGATCGCCAGATGGAAGTGTAAGATACACTCTCTGTTATGCTGTAAGTGGTTGTGGTAATTTGTGTTCGTCTTGGAAATCAAGTATCTTTGAGAGAAAAGTTGTGAAGTAAATCAGCAGTGGTGCAGCGTACTACATAGTTTTATACTTGAGTGGGAATTTCCTCGCCTAGATGTGCGTACTTCGGTATCCATGGTTCAGATGATCATAAGGCTGCTGCGGACATATATCGTGGGTGCGCACTCACCTCAGTCCGTGGGACGTAGCTTGAGCACTCCCGTCGTAATCCCGTGACGGTTATAGGCAAACCATGGCATCAATAGTGGAGACCCAAATAGAAAGTGGATTTTAGTAATAGCCAATTTGTCCACGTGTAGTGAACACCAAAACAGCCGTTGAGAACATCGTAGAATAAGATACTCAGAGGTTTAAGCATATGCAATGACTGGTAGCATTTACCCACGCAGGACGACACTGGATGCTGGGTCGCAGAACCAACGAGTGCTCACTCTTGATGATCTCGTTTAGCGTATGACCAATACTGGAGCCATGGTAATCGCTTTTGAAATTTTGATATGTACAAGAAGATGCTGGTTGACCCAGTGAATCTTTATCGGTGTAGGTCCTATCAATGTAAATCGTTTGGAAATGCGACTGGAGTGGTAGGGTCGTATGCCGCAACTTTTGTACCAGGATTTCGTCCTGCGACTACTGAGCCAGTCGAGTGCGTGACAATGCAACAACAAAATCGCCGACGCGAGCTGACTCCAAATCGCTCAGGTTAAATTCATGGCAACAAGCAAGCCTACTCGTTCAACTCAACATAGTTGGCGGGGAAGAGACCCGATTGGCCATTGTAGCTACCGAGCCACCAGTCTTCGTCGGGGAATTGCTACAAGAGTATTAGCATAGGTTTCAGCAGTGGTGCAGGTAGCCTTACAAGTTCAGTTACTGTGGCTCCTTCGGGGAAGCTCAGTTCGTTGTCCTCAGCTGCTTCGTAATCGTACAGAGCGGTGGCTGTAGGACCAGCAGACTGTGACGGTGCCGCAGCAGGTTCGGGCTCTTGCGGCGCCGAGGGGTGTGCGGGCAGTGCTGGTGCAGCGGTGGCATCGTCGCCCTCGACCAGCTCAACATAGTTGGCCGGGAAGAGACCACGCTCGCCCTGAGAGTTTGTGCCCATCCACCAGTCGTCGTCTACCATGTCAATGTCTGTGACATACTCGCCTTCACGGAGCTCGACTTCGTTGTCCTCCGCCTTCTCGTAATCATATTGGATGACTGCGCGCTTGCCGGAGCCACCGGCATCGTCATCGTCATGAGAAGCGACCGCTGCGCCGACGGCAGCACCGCCTACTGCGGCAGCACCAAAAGTGGCAGCAGCAACGGCAGCGCCAGCTCCACGAGCAGGGTCCTTAGCCTCGACTTGTGGCTCTGGAGACATGTCACGATTTTGCCTGGCTGCTTGATCAAGTGATCGCGCGGGCATAGGCGGTGCGTGTTCCTCGGCAGGAGACATCTCCTCTGGTTCGCGCCCACGAGCAACGGGCATGGCAATACGAACAGGAGAGCCGGAAGGCTCGGGAGACGGGCTGCGAGGCGGTTGAGGTGGTGGAGATGGCATACGCTGGTGTTGAGTGGCAGGCACATCCTCTTCGTCTGATTCTGGCTCTTTGGGTCGGGTAGGCAGGCCTGGCATCGGAACGCCCCTCGGGCCAGCATTGGGCTTGCTCGAGGTATCGAGAGGCGGTGGGCTGGAAGCTTGCGGCTCTGGTACAGGGCGTGAAGTTGGCGCTCCCATAGGGGCGGCACCTGTGAAGCGGTCCTTGAGCGAGCTTACGCCACCAGCTGCAGGAGAGGCTGGCTCTTCTTGTTGAGGTGCCCCACCCGTGCGTTGTTCGCTGAGGTTGCTAGTCGCAGACTGACCTGTTCGGGTAGTCTGCACTGGAGCCCATGATTTGCCGGAGTAGCCACTTTGCCAGCCACCACCTCCACTCTGTTGGCTTTGGAGGGGAGTTGGGCGGCTTCCAGCATCGGCAGTAGAAGAAGGAACGGCTTCTCCACGGGCCGCCTTCTTCTCCGCCCAGATCTGAGCAGGTGTCTTTCCTCCTTGGTCAGCAAACGTCTTGCTCGCGGCGCCGACGATTGGTGCCGGAGGAGCGGGCTTTGCACCAAATCCTCCTGGAGTAGGAGCCTTGGTGCCGGTGAATGTGCTCGCACCAGCAAACTTGTTGGCAACCTTGGGCTTCGGCAAGCTGGTAAGGCGCTCGGGCTGCGCGCTGAAAGCTGCTGATCTCTCTGCGAGAGACTTCGGCTTCTCTTCCTCTTCTTCGTTGTTCGACGCTCCCGTTGGGGCTGGGGACATGCCAGAGGATGGTGGACCGGCTTGGGCCTTTGCGCGGATAGCCGCGATATCGACCTTTCCGACGGGCTCGTACGCGCCTTTGACAACAGTAGGCCGGTCGTCTTTGGCATCGCGTGCCTGGGCTCGGATGGCTGCAATGTCGACTTTGCCAACTGGCTGGTATGCGCCCCTGACGACTTCAGGGCGGTCGTTCTGCGAGCCCGAGGGCTGGGAACCGGTGGATTCGTCTTTTCTCGCGGTGAGTTCGGCCATGTTGACCTTGGTGGGAGTGTAAGCAGTTCCGACCTTCTCCAGCTGGGATCTGGAGACCTGCGGAGCATCGGCACCCCAGCCATCCGCATCTTCATCGCCCTTTGGCGCAGGTGCACGCGAGCGGCCGAGAGGGTTGAAGCCAGCGCCTCCGCCGCCTATCGAGGTAGGTGTAAAGACGGGCTTCTTCGCGGCAACGGGAGGAGGGCCGCGCGGGGCAGGGACATCGGCACCACCGCCGTACTTGGCGCCTGATGCATCTGCAACTTTCTGGACAATCTTCTCTGGGCTGAGGTCGTCCTCGGAACGGGCGGTAACTTGGACATGGTATCCCTATGGAAATTAGCTTGTGCGTAGAGGGGCCGTGGGAGTACGCACATGTAGCAGCTTGGAGACAACCGTGAGATGGCTGCCAAAGTAGCCCTTGGTCCGCTCTGGAACACCTGCGCCGCACTGCGTGTGAATTAGCATTGTGTCTCTGGGAGCTGCAGCGGAGAGCTTACCCAGGCTATCAGGACGTTCTTGGGCAGCGATGTGTTGGGGTCCTTGACTTTGACGAATGCAAACTGGATGCGGCCGTCTGAGAACTCGTCTATCAGGTCGAGCAGCTCGCCCTCTGCAGGATGTTAGCACATATTCTCGGTGGTGTCACTCTTGCCTGCTGTGCTGCGCTTCGTGATGTGCCGACACCCGAGCTTGGGCAGCCACCTTGCCATAGCCCAAGCTCTCGAGTGCGGAATGATGGCCATTGGAAGTGTGCCGCGCTGTTCCACGTACCTCCGGTGCTCTGCACTTTCAGCACGCTCTCTTTTCCGCCGTCCTGCTGGAATGCGCTGACAAGCGGGGCAGCGACTGTGAAGACGGCCCATTGGCCGTATGTGGGCGAGCTGGCCTGGGGACCAGAGGGCGCCGGGGCATTGACGACATTCTGGTAGCTGCGGGTGATGTTGGGGCCGTTGCTGGAGGTGTTGAGCGTGGCCATGGTGGGCGGCGTGGAGGGGAAGCTGTCGTGGGAGACGAAGCTTGGGGGAGCGGTGGAGAAGAGGAGGTGGAGGAAAAGCAGCACTCGGAATTGACAGCTAGCACGATGCGTGGTGGGACAGGCAGCGTACGCGTATCCCGTATGTGTGTCTGTGTAATTGGGCGTGAATTAACCTAGTCGGGTCGGGCTGGTCAGCACAGGCGGGCCACAAGTTCGGTGTGCAGAGCTGGCAGCTATGTCATGCTTGGCCCGCGCCCTCGAGCGGCTGGCGCTGGCGCTGGTGGCAGGCAAGCGGTGCCGACGGCGCGCCCAACGACCTCCAAGGAGACCCTCGTCCGCTTCACCGTGAATAATTGGACATAGCTCCTCGCACTGCCTGCCCTCGCTGCATGCCAAAGCAGCTTTCTGCATCTTTCAAACCGCCGCCTAGACCCCAGGCTCCATCCTTCTAGCCCTCTAGCCCTCTTCACCTCCACTCTGCCACGACAAACACTAGCATCGCCAACACACGCAGCGCACCGCCTTTTCCGCGCTCCATCTCATCGCGCGCTGCTCCATCGCATCGTCATCCATCGCATGTCGCTGTCTCTGTGTCTCTAGCCTGCGCATGCCGACAATGAGTCTGTTGTGAACGCTGCCCCAGCACGGCTGCGCCGCCATGGAGGACCGCGAATCAAGCCCAGCGTCGTCGGTCGACTTCTACGGCTCTGACGCGAATCCTCCCCAGGCGACGGCTGCGCAAAGCGACGCGCCTGTCGCAAAACGCAAGGCAGAGGATGCGCCCCATGAGCGTGAAAAGAAGCGCAAGCTCAGCAGCGCGAAGCCGCTCGTGAAGCTACCACCCGAGTTGTGGCAGCATGTTTTCTCTTTTTGTTCGCTTGCAGATCTCGGTCGATTGATCCAGGTCAATCGATCTTTCCTATCCTATCTCACAGACGTGCGCAGTCTGTCGACTTCAAAGTCGCATCCTGGCCGTCTGCATCTCCTAAAGTCCGAGTCGTTGTGGGCCTCTGCCCGCAACGCAATGTGTACCAAGCCCCCGAAGCCGCTCCCAGGCTTCAGCGAGCTGCGCATGTGGCAGCTGGCTTGGTCCAGGAGATGTCAGTTCTGCAATAAGCTTGATTCTCTGACTCCAGGCGAGCGCATATGGCAGAAGGGCCCCGGCAAAGAAGGCGTCCGCGTCATTTGGCCCTTTGCCATCAGAGCCTGCGGGCCGTGCCTGCTCAAACAATGCCAGACGGTGAGTTGCACCTTCCACTTTCTGGGTCGCGACTGACATGTATAGGACGCGAGCCTTCTCTTCTCGGCTGCCTCCGCCCTGCGGCCCGCCCTCCCGTTCGCCCTCCTCACCAGCGACCAGCACTACATTCCGGCATACACCCTGCAATCTGCGAATACGCCGGCCGACGTTGACATTGCCAAGTTCTACTACAAGCAGCATGTCGAGGAGATCACGCAGGAGATGAACGAGGCCATCAGCCGTGGTCCTGCAGCAGCTGAGGAGTGGTCCAAAGGACTCGATGCTCGCGGAAAAGAACGCATGAAAGTCGCCGAGAACTGGGAACGCTGGGAGGTCAAGAACCTATGGCAGGAGGAGCACGAGCGTGCGAAGCGCGCTCCATCTGCAGCTCCCTCGCATGCCGCCACGTCACACAAGGACCCGTCTAAATCACCCCCTCGTCGAACTCCCTCTCCCATAATTCATGCTCCGGTTCCAGCGAGTAAGTATACCTCTGCTGTCTCATTTGCTGCCACACATGGCGATGCCTTTCGATATGTCAACAACACCTCTCCAGTCCCCTCCCTAACAGGTGTAGCACCATCGTCGCAGCATGCGCAAGCGCGACCGCCTACTGTTCCACCACAGGCTTTCACCCCTTCTGGCCAGAGAAACCTACACGATGCAAACGAGGCCAAGGCGACCCGGAAGACCGACATAGAACGCCGGTGTCAGCAAATGGACCCTCCTATCGCTCCCAACGTCTTGCGCCACATGGACTCGTTCAAAGCGGCTATCCAGATTTCACAGCCAATGAACGACTATGCATGGAGTGTGCTCCAACCCCGCTTGATCGCTCAGCTCCCTGCTGCCCAACAAGCAGAAGCCGACCACGTGGCTCGGGCTGCTTCGTTTCCCACAAAAGCTGCCGACCGCCGCCACACGGACGCCAATTCCAAGGAGGCCAGGGAAGTCATGGACCGAGAGTGGGAAGAGTCGCAACGACCCATCCGCGACAGACTCGAAGCCATCGCCGACGACTTCATTAATCAGAGCTGGGACCATGGCAGCGCCGTCACTTACGACAACAGCCCAAAGTTTGCGGCCGACCTCCTTGCTCACGTGCGCCGCACATACTATGCCGAGGAACCCGAACAGGACTCTGATCATCCCGGGCAACATACGCAGCCTTCTACTGACAATATAACTACTAGGCCCAGGCTCGTCCTGGATAACATGAAATGGGTGTACGACAACAAGATCAAGCCTTTGACAGAACCATTCCGGAAGGACATCTTCCTGTGCCATGGCGGCGGATGCGAATACAACAACAAGTACTATGGTTTCGAGGGCGTCACGCAGCACTACGGAGCCAAACATACTGCTGCCTTCAGTTCAGGAAACGTGGTTGTTGCATGGAGAGAAGCCGAGTGGCCGGAGGAGACTCCCTTCCACCCAGATCCTCTCTCTGTGAAGCAACCTCAACATGGTCATCATCCCTCTTCTAGTACGAACGGGTTTGGTGGCTATTTTGGCGGATACTCACGCGCAGGGACATCAACACCTCACATGCCAACTCACCATCCACAGGCGAGCCCTGGTCCTTACAACTATGGAGGCCAGTACAATGGACCTTTCGCTCCACCACAGGTTCCTTCTGGCTTCGAATACCCCCAGCCATATGCGACACCCGTGGATATGTATGCACATCAAGCAATGGGTCCTCCAGGTTATGGTGCTCATGCGGCCCAAAACCCTTACCTGACTTCTCCAGCGATGATCAACAATGCCATAGCTCCACCACCACCCAACATGCCACCACCTAGCCAAGGAATTCCTGAGATCGCTCCTAGCGGTACAGAAGATACTGGCCAGAGTACTAGCTCGTTTGACAAGCAAGTAAGTACCGTCATCGACATGACCCAGGACATCTGGAAACGCACCTCGGGGATCAAAGACATGCCGAATAGCCTCCGGATCTATGTTTTGCTGCATCGCGTCATCTCCAAGTTTCATGTAGAGTTCAATCATGAACCGAACCTGAACCACTTCATTGATGCTCTGTCTAATCATGAGATGCCAAAGGCTTTGAAGAATGCACCAGGTCTCTCATGCAAAGCTTGTCAGACGGGCGCCTCGCATAACTTGGGAGGTTCCTATTACTCCAAGTCGGAGGAAAGAACAACCTATACTGTCCTCGGCCTGTTATCGCACTTCAGGAGCCAGCATCTGCCTTTTCAGCAACCAATGCCTGGCCACGGAATGCCTATTGCCCCTCTGGACTGGAAGGAACACATGATCGAGCTTCCAAGCGAACGGTTCATTTCTGGTCTCATACACGCCCCAGGCATGGATGACGAGAAGCTGCTAATGATAGCGACCGTCTTTCCCAGCTTGTTTCCTATGCCACTGCCTAAGATCGGCGTGATTGATAGCCATGGATTAGCTTCTCCAGCCTCGTCAGGACCGAAGGATTCAGACAAAACGACTGGTGCAGCCGATGTTGCTGGTGAGGGAATAGCACGCCCCAACTCTGTTATGAAAGCAGCAGAAGCAAATTCGGCGCTACCACCTAAACCGCTGGAGGCTGGTTATGAGCCTGTTCGACCAAGCCTTACCGGCGAATCGAATGAGGCGTCGGGCTCCATGAACAGGAAACGTTCATATCGAGAGAGCTCCCCCGCAGAGCGTAGACAGCACCATTATGCTGAGCCGCGATACTATGTACGTGATCTACAAAACTCCGCAGAAACATTAGTGAAACTAACATCTTTGTCTGCCAGCTGCCGAGGGATCACCTTGATGACGGCTATCACCGCCCCCGGGAGTATGTGGAGTACGCCCCCAGCCCAAGGATCATCCATGCTGGTCCTACATATGAGGATTACACCGGCCGCCGAACAGCGTTCCGCGAGCAAGAGCGATTCTATGGACCACCCGAGGACGTGGTCTACGCACATCCGCGGGAAGGAAGCCACGGCAGTCGGGAATACAGTGCCTATCCCCGCCAGGCTCGATACTATGAAGAAGATGATCATCGGCCCGAATACCGGTTCATGAACGAGCGTCAGTCAAGGGATGCCAGTCCACCTCAAGGGCAATCTGCAGCAGATCGGTTTCTAGCAGAGAACGAACCCCCGCAACCACAACCACAGTCCGAAGTAGACGCTGCTGCACCAGCACAGGAAAACGGGGATGGGCCCCGTTACACGCCTCCGCCTCCAGAAGCTCCTGCACCAGCAGATGCCACAGCACCTGTTCGCCCACTTGCGCCCCCACATCCTCGAGCCCCTTCCACTGTTTCCAACAACTCTCGATATGACGACTATCAATCCAACGGGTATCGGATGCCAATGTCTGGACCAAGCGGTCCGCCACGAAGGGCTGGACCTCAACGCCGAAGAGATCGGCCTAACGATAACCGGGGACCGTCTCGATATCAGCGATACATGAGTGTTGCGCGGGAAGATCCCTATGGACGTGGTTCCAGCATGAGCCGATCGCAAAGCCGGAGATATGAAGAACAAAAGCGTCGCATCGATCAACAAGAAACACCGCAGCCCAATGCTGAGCCTGACTACGAGCCTGCGTATTCTCGGGAGCACAGCCTTGATCAATCTGTACAAGATGAAGGATTCTATCCACCTGCCCGCCGTCATCCCCGCGGGTACGTCTCTGTGCAAGACCGTCTGCATCCACATGCACACGGGTACTCACCGCCACGATATCGTTACGATGAACCACGCGGTCCACAACCAGTCTATGTTGACGAGTACGGGCA